GCACACTGGTTCTGCTTCCAGGTGCAGAACTGCTGGCTCAATGTCCCTCTCCATTTCCCAGGCTCAGGGTCCCCAACTGATTCTGAAAGGAGGCTGAAGCAATGATAACCAGCCCAGCCCAACCGGTGTGCTCAGTGGTTGAGTGTGGAACTATGGGCCAGGAGGTCAGGGCACATGCCTGGGTTGTGGGCTCGATCCCCAGTGTGGGGCGTGCAGGAGGCAGCCGATCAATGATTCTCTCTCATCATTGATGTTTCTCTCTCTCTCTCTCCCTCTCCCTTCCTCTCTGAAATCAACAAAAAAATATTTTAAAAAAATAATAAAGAAATGATACCCAGAGAAATCAAAACAGGATTTTAATTTCTAAATGGCAGAGTGGGGTGAGAGAAAAAACATTGGCTAGGAATGAGAAAACCTGAGTTCCACAATAGGCCGTGTGACTTTAAGCAAGTTACTTGCTATGCCTGGGTCCCCATTACTTCATCTCTAAAACAGGATAATATAACCTTCTGGATAGTGTTGAAAAAATTATGTGAAATAATAACAGTTAAAGTTTATTGGATGCTTATGTACACCAAGGACTGAGTTCTTTACATCCACTAATTTACAAAAGTTTCAAAACAAACCTATGAGGTAAGCGCTACGTAAAAAAAAAAAAAATTATTATAAAATGGTCCAATGAAAAGTTGAAAGAGGGACAAATGAAAATCCTACCACTTAGATTCAACAGTCGCCAACATTTTGCTATACTTATTTAATTTCCTTTCTCTTTTCTCCTGAGACATTTAAAATAACAACTTCAGCATAAATCTCCAAAAATTAAGGATACTGCCCTACATAACCACAATACCATTGCCATACCTGGTCATTAATAATTCTCTAAAAGCATCTAATACTCCATAATAAAAATGTTCCATCAGTTATATCTCATAAAACATTGTTTTTAAAGTTCCAATTTCCCCAAAATGACTTTTAGAGCTGGTGTCCCATTTTAAAAATGAGGAAACGGCCTGGCCGGTGTGGGTCAGTGGTTGAGGGCACATGCCAGGGTTGGGGGCTCAATCCCCAGCAGCGAGTGTGCAGGAGGCAGCCGATCAATGATTCTCTCTCATCATTGATGTTTTTTATCTCTCTCTCTCTCTTTCTCCCTTCCACCCTGAAATCAATAAAAAAAAAAATCTTTAAAAAAATTAGGAAACGGAGGTAGCTAGGACACAGCCAGTGAACAGCAGAGTTCTAGAGCTTCTTTAGTAACAGTTATACGTGAAAGCACCAACACAAGCTTGCACCTGGTAGCCCCCTTTCTCCACCACTGCCCGCACCCTCCTCCTCCCCAGTACTTTTCAGCCCTGTGTTCCCTTTTCACCCCAGTCCGTCTGGTACCTCATCTTTCCCCGGCCCCACCCCAGCCTCTGTGTCTCCAGAAGTTCCTCACCTAAAACTGGTGCAAAGAAAACCTCAACAGATGGTTGTAACCGCTCCCACTGGTACAGGGCAGCGGGCTTACTCCTTGGGGACTTGCAGCTCAGGGTCACATTGGTCCCCACACGGGGCGCACCCAGAAGATGGCAGGATGGAGGAGCTGGAGGAACTGGGGAAGGGGAGACAGGTTAAAAACTCACACCCAAGAGACCGATGGACACCCCCCTACACACACACACCAACTTCTACACACACACCCTTCAGTCACTCCATTTAACCCTCCTCCAACCTGTACACTCAGCCACTGGGGAGAGAGACCTGTCTGACCTCCCGTGGGGGGTGGGGGGAGGTACTGGGAAGGGTGTGCTTCTTACCCCACACGTCAAGTTTTAAAGTTTTGCTGTCGTGGCCCCTGCTTGTGCCTTGCTTGTCTTGCACGTTCACAGAGCAGCGGTAGGACCCGGAATCTTTCTCCCGGAGGCCCTGCAGCCGCAGGGACACATTCCGGGAGGGCCTGGGGTAGACCAGGGACACTCCATCTTGGCTTGTTGTGGCCCCATTGATGTGCGCCAACACCTGGTGTGGGTATAACCCCTGCCCATTATCCCATGCCTGCACGGTGCCCGCAGGCTCAGCCAATCTCCCTCCACCGAACTGTCAAACCTCAGATGCCCCTCACCTGCCCCGTCCCCTCTAACCTGTACCAGCTCCCCTTCACCCCTTCTTCCTGGCCACCCTCTCACCACCCCAGGTCCTCTTCGCCAGAACGGTTCTTGATCCCCCGTATATTGTCTCCATCTCCCCCTTGGGGTGTTTGGAAAGGTGGTAAAATGGGTGAGAGGTCATGTAAACAGGGGTTATGTCTGAAAGGAACCAAATGTACAAGTTCAGGCCCCGTGAAACCAGGATCGACCCCTGCAGTCTAGGCTTCTTTCACACACACCCCTGTTTAGCAAACGGCCTCTTGAAGATGCGTCCGTCCTCGGGCTTCAGAAGGAGCCATGCCAGCGAGGGGCTCTGGAAGGTAAGTGTCCTTGGCCTCTGCCCTAACTGTGATGCCAGGAGAGGCCAGAAGGGAGATGGCGGGAGGCTGCCCCTTGCCTCTCAAGGTGGGTACAAGAGGCAGCAGCCTGTGACTGTCCAAAGCACAGAGAATGTGAACACAGGTTGATAGGCAACTTTTAAAAAGTGGGCGTGGCTCAGTGGTTGATCCTTGACCTATGAACCAGGAGGTCACCATTGGATTCTGGTCAGGACACAGGCCCAAGGTGTGGGCTCCATCCCCAGAGTGGAGCATGCAGGAGGCAGCCCATCAGTGATTCTCTCTCATCGCTGATGTTCCTCTCTCTCTCTCTCTCTCTCTCTCTCTTTCTCCTATCTATCTATCTATTATCTATCTATCTATCTATCTATCTATCTATCTATCTATCTAGTGTGATACTCGCCCTAATTCTTCCCACCTCCGCCCCCAATCCTCACTGCCCCACCCCCATAGCAAAGTAAGATGCCTCTTCACTCTGCCGTGTTTGTGGCCAAATTTCTAGGGAAACTTGGGGGAAAGAGAGTCCTTTTGGGCCGCCTCCAAGATCGGAACAAAATCAAACCGATGAAGAAGACCTTGCTTTCTCCCCCCCCCTGTTCCCACCTACCTCACCCGACTCCCTCCCTTAACCTACCCCACACTTCAGTCTCTGATTTCCATCTAAGAAAGATGGTCAATGTCTAAGAGATTGCATTCTCTTGGTGGCAGATGGAGCCTCCTTATAACACTTTACGTCAGCCTAACTTTAGGTCTCGCATATTCTCCAGAGTAAAACATCTCTAAGAGAAACAGGCCTTTTTCCTGCTAATTCAAATCATCTCCCAAAATTCATTTTTATTCTAAGAGAGCCCTCTCCCAACAAGGGTAGAGATGAACTAAGGGGGTTCCACAACATGTATTATTCTTTTTATCTCCTCTTCAAGTCTGGGTAGATGTCTGATGACTCCTACTTGTATCAATAACTAAAACACAGACACAATCTCAGTGCTGTGCAGTGACTAATGGCAGCACGTGTCCATGCCGCAGCCTCTCCTACAAGGAGAATGTCACTCAATGGCCAATCCAGACAGAAAGCTGAGGGAAAAACACTGATCAGTACTGGAGAAGAGGTGGGCGGGGGAGTGTGGGGGAATCTCATAGTCAGATGCCTGGATCTATCTAAAGAACAGATTTCTAGAATGTGCTACGGGAGTTAATATCGAATTGATGGTGGAAGGTTACAAGAGACAAAATTCGCAGGCGATGTGCGCCTCTTCGTACAGTGAGAGAAATAGAGCTCACAAAGGCGCGACTGACTCCGAACGCTCTATGTCACAGCGAGCTGAGGCCC